ACAACAGCCAGAGCTGCACCGATCTGAAGCTAGGAGCCAGGAGTTTCTTCCAGGTCTCCCACATGGGTGCAGAGGCCCAAGGAGTTGAACCATCTTCTACTGATTTCCCAGGCCACAGCAGAGAGCTGGACGGGAAGTGGAGCAGCCAGGATAAGAACTGGCACCCATATGGGATGCTGGCTCTGCAGGCAGTGGCTTTACCCTCTACGCCACAGCGCCAGCCCCAGGAAATCTTAAAAAGGAAGGAAATTTTGCCACATGCTACAGCATAGATGAATCTTGAAGAGATCTGGGGGTTCAGCAACCAAAACCCCAAAGTGTGGCACTTGATATGGTAAGTGGTAAGTACACTGGCCTGAAGAGGCGTACTCAAGGTCTCTCTGACCTTCCTCCTGGACTTCAGTCTCTCCATCCTACATTTCCCTGAAACACAAGGATTGGATTTCTTTCAGGCTCCCTTATGTGACCATGGGAAGTCCCTCCAGAGGAGTGCAATTGTCTTGGGCCCCCTCTTACAAGCTCATCAGAGAGGAAAGATTAGTTCCCAGGTAAGCAAGACTAGCATTGACACCATACCCAGAGCCCTGCGAATTTGGTGTGCTCTTTTTGAACCTGTTCATCTCCCCTGAAATTCATTTAGTCCCTCTCTAAAAGTCTATGCCCTCCCCATTCTCCTGTCCCCTATGAAGAAGGTATGTAAGCTCCTAGACCTCATTGGGTTATTGAGTATTCAGTTTCCTTTGAGTGCTCAACAAACAAGCACGTCTTTTCTCCTGTGCATGTACTGTCAGTTATTTCAACAAGTTCACTTACTGAATCTGTTGGAATGGAGGGATGGAAGAGAAGTTCCGTTAGCCCCTACAGTCTCATGTTAAGTGAAATGTTGGTCACTAAACAAATACTGTATGATTCCACTCATGCGAGGGATCTAGCGTGCTTAAGAATCTTAGAGACAGAAAGTAGCATGGTGGTTGCCAGGGACTGAGGGAGAGGTGGAAGAAGAGTTAATGTCTTATGAGTGCAGAGTTTCTGTTTTGCAAGATGAAGAGAGTTCATGGGGGGCCAGCACTGTGGCATAGTGAGCTAAGCCTCCGCCTGCAATGCCAGCATCCCATATGGACACCAGTTTGTGTCTTGGCTGCTCCTCTTCCAATCCATCTCTCTGCTATGGCCTGGGAAAGCAGTAAAAATCGTCCAAGTGCTTGGACCCCTGTATCTGCGTGGGAGGCCCAGAAGAAGCTCCTGGCTCCTGGCTTCCAATCGGCTTAGCTACAACCGCTGTGGCCACTTAGGAAGTGAACCAGCAGATGGAAGACCTTTCTCTCTGCCTCTCCTTCTCTCTATAACTCTGCCTCTCAAATAAGTAAAATCTAAACAGAGTTCTGTGGATGGCTGAAAATGATGGTTGCACATTCACAACAACGTGAACGTGCTTATTAACACTGAACTGTACACCTAAAAAAGGTTAAACTGCTTGTTTTTATGTTAGATGTATCTTGCCACCACTTAAAATGTCAAAAACAACTCATATTTTTAAAGGGTACAGTTCAGAATATCTGGAGTTGTATAACCATTGCCATAATCTAATTTTAGGACATTTTTATCACCCTCCTCAAAATAAAAACAAACCCTCATATCCATAAGCAATCACTTGGGAGAGGTGTTTTTTTTTTTTTTTTTTTTAACAGGCCATGGATGCTACGCTCTGTTTTCCTAGCACTTGACATTCATAGACTTTTAGAAGGTACCTTAGAGATTTAGTTCAAGCTCCTCCGATGGAATTGAGGCTCAGAAAAGCAAAGTGCTTTGGCAAAGGTCACACAACTAATTCATGGCAGAGCCAGGTCTTTTGATTTCCTATGAAGTTATTTTTCCTGTTACAAAAAATGCTGTGTCATTCACTTCCTTCTGTCTGATGCTGACAATAGACTCATGGTATAGAGATGTAACCCTTCCCTGCTGTAGGCAGCTCGGCTCCGTTCTGCAGCCCCAGGCTCACCCACCTGAGCTGCAGGCAGAGAACACAGAGAGGAGAGAGAGGAACATCTGCAAGTGTGTTCCGGACTGCTCCCTGTGCCTTAACTCTGTCAGGGAAGAGTTATAATGAGTTTTATGGAGAGTAATGGCTCAGCTCTCTTAGAAGAGTAATTGGAAACACAGGTAGGTGCAGTGATTTTCCGGGGGAAAGATGTGGCCTTCAGAGAGGTTGGTGGTGGTAGCAGGAGCAAGCAGCAACATTACAAGGCAAAAAAATGTCAAGGTCTCGGGCAGGCAGAGGGAGTCATTCCATCCCTGACTACAGGGCTGTTGAAAAGCGGCAGAGAAAGGGCGAGTTGGTGCTTTGATACCTGCTGTCATCTTATGCTTCTTGTCTGCCTGCTTCCGGTAGTTCTTAGGCCCAGCAGAGCCAGGACCAGGGCTGTCAGAGGATCCATGTCGGGGAGAGGGACCAGCTTTGTGGGTGAGATCCTTCCAGATGTGTTCCAGCATCCCTCCTGAGCTTGGCGACTGAAGGGTTTTATTCTTCCCTGATTCCCGGGAGGGCCGGCTGATGGCAGCTTTGTGGCGGCTAACATGGGGAATGAGAGCTACACAGCATAGCAGAGACCATGGAAAACCGCCCCACCGTGAACAGACTGAGAAGTATCTGGACAAAGTCCTGGAGCCCAGTCATGGTGAGGTTGGGTCCCTGCTTTCCAGTGCCATTTGATCTCTTTGAGAATTTGATCTCTTTGCCTCCCGGGAGATGTGGGGCCCGCGTCTTGCTTGGAATTGCTCCAGCCAGGCTAGGCAGAGGCAGGCACTCAAAGCATTCTGTGAGTTTCCATCTGAGAGAGGAACCCATCTGGAGAGACTGCTGTGGGGAATGACACAGGCTTCCAGACACTGAGCTCCCTAAGGAGAGTGACTAGATCATTCATTTTTCATCTCCGAGTGCCCAGCAGAGTGCCTGGCACGCTTGTATGCTGAGTGAGAGAATGAGTTAGGTTACATTTCACATCCAAGGATGCGTGATTATTCACCAAGTGAGTTCCTTCCCATGCATGAAGTCATCCTTAGCCCTGGAAGGTAGGCAAGACTGTTTCACAGATGAGGTCACAGAGCTGTAGGTGGGAGAGCTGGCTCTCAGCTCTAAATCCATCGGCATTTTATACAGGTGTCTTATGGAGCTGCCCCCCCCCCCTTAAAAAAATACTTTGCCTAAGGACTAAGAAAGAGATGAATGGGGATTCAGATGAACATTTGTGGTTTCTGTGTCTGGTTCCTAAATCTAGAGTAGACACATTCTCCACCTGAGTCTTCTCAATAATGGCATTATTCTCTGGCGTTCATTAGCCCCTGCAGAAGATGCCTAAGTCTTCAATTACATCAGGAGTTAGAATTCAGGAGCTAGTCTGGTAAATCAAATCCCCATGCAGTGTGTAGTAGTTATTTCCTGATATAGATTTGTCGTGATAACACTATTGTATCTAATGCAGTTTGGGGTAATTTCAATTAACTAGATTGTAGCTTTACAGCGCTGGGTCGCCAAGAAACACATGTTAAAACATTCTCACTGCTTAATGAGATCCTTGTTCCTGTTGAACTTCCATGACCTTATTGGAAATCAATGGTTGCTTCTGATCTTCAAAATGTAATGTTGAGAGGAACTAGATGAAATCCTGCTACCAAACCGTTTGCGACTGCAAGATGCGGAAAGCTTCCTGTAATGAAAAGGAATGATTCCGTAGACCGTATTTTTAACGCTGTGTGCATATCATGCATGAGGGAATGTCTCCTTGCAGAATTATTTCGCCTCAACAACCAACAATTCACAGGATCACAGCATTCCTTGAAGCAGGGTATCCCCTAACTCCTGGGCAGTAGCCAGGAAGGGAGCTTTTCTTTCCTAGTAACTGTTGCTATGGGGGGCGTGGCTTCGAAGTGCGCCGAGGACGCGTTCGGCGGCCCCCTCCTGCACCCCACCCCCGCGTGGACTACACTTCCCGTGATGCTCGAGGGTGGTCTCCGTAGTGACGCATTCGGTGCCCGCGAGGGAGGGAGCGCGGGGGCGGCGGCTGTGAGGGGGGCCGCGCTCTCCCGGTGTTCCCTACTCGCGCTCGGGCAGCCGCCCCCGCCGCTGCCGCCGCCGGCGCCGCCATGTTGGTTTGAGAGGCGATGACAGGAGGTGGCCGCGGCGTGTGGGGCTGAAAAGTGGAGGAGGAGAGACAAAAAGCCCGGAGAGGAAACCATTCCCGGGCTGAGGCGAGGGAGGACCCGGCCTCTTCCGGGGAGCTGCCGAAGTCGGCGACGCCGGAGCTCGCGAGGCCGGGGAGGGGAGGAGAAGGCGGGGACGGGGGAGGCGGAGGCAGAAGAGGAGCGCCGAGGAGCCGGAGACGATGCGCCGGGACCTCCGCCGCTGCCTGGAGGCGCTCGCGGCCTGAACCCGGCGGGGCCGTGCGGTGTCCTGGCCGCCCTGCGCCTTGCCTCTCGGCCCGGAGCTTGCGCTTTGGCTCGCCACGAGTTAAATGCCCTTGAGCTCGGCTCTCCGCGGCCCGGCTCTCCGCCCCGGCGGCGCGAGTTGAGCCGTTTCCCCGCGCGGCGGGGTCCGCGGCCACTTGCCACTCACGGCTCACGCGTCGATGTGTAGCTACATAGCTATCTATGTACATCCACGCCGGGGCATTTTTCTCCTGCTTAATGAGGACTTGACTCGGGAGCGAGTGTGAATCATTGCCGGGGCTGGGAAAGGAGGAAGGCGGATTTAACCCCCTCCCACCCCGCTCCATGTCCGTGTGTCACTCGGCTCCGTTCACCTGGCGCGGCCGGTCCTAGGGCTGCTGCTGACGACGACGACGACAACGGGGGCCGCCGCTGTCCCGAGAGCTTCCCCCCGCTCCGGCCGCCCGGCTCCTGGGGATTGTTTCCTCCTCGCACGGAACCTCGGCCGGGCCAGCACGTTGGCTCCGAAATAACTTCTTGTTTTTATTTTTTTGGAAAGCACATCGCGGACCAGTTGACATCGCGAAGGGTTATTTCTGCAGCTCGAAGACTTTTGGTCTTTTTGTTTGTTTATATTGTGTGTGGGGGGGTGTTTTTTTTTTTTTTTTTGGCGTAAACATCCGAGTACATACCAAACGGCAAGATGTCCAGTAATGTCCCGGCGGATATGGTAAGTGAAGTTGTGACACTCTGATTTAATTGCGGCTTCCCATCTTGTTTGATCGGCAGGGACGCTGGCGTGGGGCGAGGGGTTGCCGGGGGCTGCCGAGAAGCCACCGCGGTGGCGGATTTGGAGAAGTTGGAGCTTCCGATTTCTCTCTTTTTCGAAAAGGGACTGCTTTGAACATGGGTTTTCTCATGCAGTTGCGTGTTCTCTCAATCGCTGAGGACCGTGGAAAAAGAAGTAAGAGAAACGTAGCCAGGCAGCCTGGCAGGGAAGGAGCCGTCTGGCTGTTTTTGCCAGAAGCCTGGGGACGCTGGTGTTTTAGCGCTTCGGGAAACGTCAGTGCCCGGGGGCAGAGCCGAGGGCGGCCGGCCCTCCTCGAGCCGGAGGTGGCCGGGGACAATCGCGCTCAGTCACTCTCGCAGTGGGCGCAAGCTTGGTATTTTTTCAGGAACGGGGCTCTGCACAGCACTTGCTGCGAGCCTTTTGCAGCGTCTGAGCGGGCGACTGTGGAGACGGAAACATTCAGATGTTTAGTTGTTTTTTTTGTTTTTGTTTTTTTTTTTTTTTCCTACCCAACTCTCGGCTGACCGCCTATCGGTACTTTTCGTGTCTAGCCCAGGATTTGCAGTGCCAGATACGTAGTGCTATTACATCCGTAGACTTTGAAAGCTGCAGAAACGGCCTCTTGAGCTTTGGTCGCTTCGAGAACTCTCTTGTTTATTGACGCTTTTCTTTTTGTTTGTTAAAGGTTAGGCTTGTGAGGCTGTTGACAGTCACGGTGTAGCTCTACCGTGCTGGCGGGCGCTTTGTGTGAGTGTGAAATGACACTTTGCAGCCCTAAGGACTCAGAGAATGCAGTTAATAGGAAGTTGAAGAACTCGCTTTATGGAGAATGGAAGTTAATGCGGATGTGCTCACCGGAGTTAGCATTTGAGTGTGTATTCCTGCGAAAAAATAAAAAGGAACTTTGCTGATGACTGCATTTTAAAATGTCAAATACTTCTATGGGAGGAAACCTCCTTTGCAGATGTTTAAGATTGGAGAGATTAAAGGACTCCTCAGCGGGATATTTCGACCTTGGTGCAGAGACGTTTGCTTGTGTTTGATTTCTCATTTAGTGCGCTATTTAAATGCAAAGGAACCACGGGGTTCTCTCTCTTGGGTGGCCTCGGGAAGCCTTCCTCTGTTCTGAGTAGGAGGGCTCCTGCATTGTCCTTGTAGTTTTCGCTCTCTTCCTGGCGCGCCCACCTGAGAACCGCGAGGGGAAGCTGGACGCGGGTTCCTCTACGCTGCTCTTGAAGTTACCTGGGGAGGTCTCTGGACCGGGGTGGTGTGGCGGGGGAGGTGCCGCTTCCCCTGCTCGATGAGGGCTCTGTGGGCTCGCTGCCTCCAGCAGAGATTTGTTCTCTCTAAAGCCTCCATTTTATGTCATCACCGTGCAAGATAGGTTCTCCCTGAGTACCACTTACCCTGCACAGAAGTTGTGATGCAGTAGATTTAAGTCGTTAAGACCGTGCGAATGCTTTCCTCAGGCCCGGTGACGAAGGAAAGCTGAAATGTGCGTAGCGTCCGTCACAAATGGAGATAATTTGGGGGAATACCGTCTCTAAGTCACTGGAGGGTTTGGAAGCCGACGTCGGGATCCGGGGACTGGGAAGTAGGGGCAGGCTTTTGCTAATAGTTGCAATTATAAAATACAGCTATCTGTTTTAGATTGTATGTTAAGGCCTTGATGGCTCTGAGGTGCTTTGAGATCCCTTGATTAAAGGTGATATGCAAGGGCAAAGCTCTATTATGTAATAAACATATAATGCCCCGGTGATGCTGTTTGCGAGTGAGTACTAAGGAACAGCACAAGTTCGATTGTTCTGAGTAGTTTTTAATGTCTTGTTTTCTAGCTGGCCAGCTTGCTGGAGGTTAGGATCATTGTCTTTGATGAAGCCTTTTAAACCGTCATTTGCTGTGACTTACATGGCATTTTTGCTTAAAAGTACCTGAATTTGTCATATGCCTAGCATTCTCATCTTGAAATACACCACCATACATAATGGTTAGAAGTTGTTGACCAAATGCTCCATATTTGTCAGCAATTAATTCGAGTTTACCTTTCATGACTTAAACTGAGAGCAGTTTCCCACTCTTTGGATCTTGCAAAAGCCTGTGTCACCACTCCCACATCAAAAACATTTCCTTTGCAGCACAACTCTGAATTGATTAGGATGTGTATTGTTACGATCCATAAACTTGCAAGCATGCATATATGCATTTTTTGCTAGGTGCAGTAAAATGTTAAGCTTTCTAAGTGTTGACAGCTAGTATGTTGTGCTATTCGGAAACAAATGTTACACTCTTTTGCATTTTAATGGTGCTTGTCAGCCTTATAGGAAAATCCTACTGGAGAGATGGGGTGGGGCAGTGAAGTTATAACCCCTGTCATGTTTTCATTAGAAGTAATTCATTCTTAAGCTATAGGACTTGCTAAATCGATTGATGTTTTTGGTAGTGTCTTCTAACCGCTGTGATCCTGACTTTAGAATCAGGTTTTTAGAAAAATGCCGGTTTTTGTTTTGTAAATAGAACTTACATTTAAATTTATTATTAGACAGGACATTCAATAAACTTGTGTGTTTAGCACAGAGTCTCACTTTTGGCATCCAAATTTAGTCTCTTTTTTGTAGGGGGGCAGTGCACTCTAGTGAAATTTAGTGTATCCTTAAAAAAAATTTGCAGTTGGTACTTTTCCAATTAACATTCTATAATATATGTGTCGTATAAATATAAAAGTGTTTATATGAAATATTGATTTTTCCTTTGCTAAGAGTGATTGAATTTGAATGGATGTACTAAACATTCTCAGTGTAGTAATTGTGCAAAATGTGAAAATATGTGGACAGAATATTATACATTGTATTTAAAGGATTCAATTCCTTTACTTTTTTTTTTTTATCAACCCAAATCATAGTTCGTGAGGGGGCAGTATTTCTTGTATATAATTGTAGCATGACTTATGTTAATAACCATCGATCTTCTGCAGGAAAATGTTTGTTACTGGTGTTAGTAGTAAGGCCTAAGACAGGATAGATAAGGTAGTAATTTTGCTTTCTGGATTGGGAAGGATGCTGACATAGATTCTTATATTTGTAAAAGTATTGTATATAGCATTTGTGCTACTGTTCAGCACTTTGAATTTAAATTATACTTTATGATGTCCATAAAATTGAAGAATCTACCGGAGAGAGAAATTGACATTGAGAGAATATTGGCAAAGCAATTTTGATCTTTGAAACGTTACAGTTGATTAAAGTTAAAGAAAAGCTCTGTATCTTTAAAAACTATTAATGTAGACTGCAGCAGAAATTGTCACAACCTGTGTTCTGGGGTTAAAGGAGATCATGACAACTCCAGATCTTTCATTGTGTCTCATGTGCTAAAACAGTACCTATGGTAATTTTTGGTATGCATTTTCCATTCATGGAAGAAATATTGGAGCCCTCTTGTGGACAGGAAATTACTAAAATGAATTTCCTTTCATAGTAAACTTTTATAACTTTTCCAAGTTGAAGTGAAATGATAGATGCAGAAATACAAGGGAAAAAGGCCATGCTAGGAAAAAGTTCCAAGAATAGGAAATTATTAACCATGAGAAAAGTATACCGAGATCGCTAATGTCAAAAGAGTCTTCTTATACTTAGGCTGCTTTTTATTTTTCTTTCTTTTGCTAGACTCTTAGGGTAAGTGGGAGGTAATAGAAGCTAAAGGATAGATAAATACCATATACAGTCAGCCCTCTGTTAACCATGTGTTTTATATCTGAGGGTTCAACCAACTGCAGATCATAAGGTTTTCATCTGTACTGGACATGTATAGACATTTCTTGTCGTTATGCCTGAGTGATGCAGAGTAACTATTATAGCATTTGCATTGTATGAGATATTATAAGCCACCTAGTGATGAATTCAAGTGCAGAGGCAGAGGTGTATAGGTTCTGTGCAAATACTGTGCCATTAAATAAAAGGTACTTGAGCATCCACAGGTCTTGGTTTTGGCAGGGTATGTGTGTGTATGGCATAATGAGTGCCTTAATAACTAATGTATTTCTAAATTGTTTTACTTGAATGTCCCTTTTTTTAAAAAAAAAAAAAAAGATTATGTATTTATTCGAAAGGCAGAGTTACAGAGAGGCAGAGAGAGGTCTTCCATCTGCTGGTTCACTCCCCAAATAGCCCCAACAGCCGGAGCTGCACTAGTCTGAAAGCAGGAGCTTCTTCCGGGTCTCCCATGCGAGTGCAGGGGTCCAAGGACTTGGGCCATCTTCCACTGCTTTCCCAGGCCATAGCAGAGACCCAAATCTGGTTTGGAGCAGCCAGGACTTGAACCAGCGGCCATATGAGATGCTGGCACTGCAGGTGGTGGTTTTACCCGCTGTGCCACAGTGCCAGCCCTTGAATGTGTCTTATATTGGTGTTTTGAATTAGACATTTTATTAAGAAACATGACAAATTATTTTCCCCAGCGTTGAGTGGCTTCTTTCTAGTCTGGAATCCTACCGCTGTTCACATGCCCTCCTCTGTGAAACAGCCTTTGGTTCCTTCCATCCCACAGTGAGCATTCCTTCCTGTGAACCATTTTCCCTCAGTGCTTTGGACTCTGACAGATGCCAAGTTTATATGGATATAAATATCTTCTATTTGTTACATCTCCTGAAATTTCTGAAGTAGAATAGACATTTCTTGACTCAGGAAGCATTACTCTCATTGTTATTTATGGAAAATACAATTATTGTTTCATACTAGTACTGTTGACAGAGGTGTTAAATATGAAGCCTGTGATGTCTGCTCCTATTATCATATTGACAATGAAATGTACCTTTTTAAATAATAAAACTTGAAATTTTAAATTAGTGGGTGAAGACCTGATGGCTGTGTTTTCATAATATCTCATAGGAAATGTGCTTTAGGAACTGACAGATAAACTTCTTAAATATGCTCTTTGATTTTCAGATT